CCCATTTATGCCTCTTCATCAAACCAACTGCTACTTACCTTTAAAACCTGGATGTTGTTTCTCTGGAAAGCCTGCCCAGTTTCCAAGACATGTGGATTACGTTGTGCCTGTACCACTTCAACTTCCTCACACTTGTTCAGCTGGAACTCTCACTAAACCCGGCTGTGAGAACAAGGACACCCCTTCTCCAGCCTGCCCTCAGGAGCCAGAGTATGGTGCTCAGCAAGTACTTCTAGTTGCCACTCTCTAAAAAGAGGTGGATCCCAGTTCACATATGTGTAAATACTACATCGAGGATCTTGCACCTAGAAAGTTCTAGATAGGAGGCATTTTCCTAACTTTCTCACATTTTGAGCACATGACTGGTGGTTGTTTTTAACCCTTGCCTGTCGTACCAAAAAAGAAAAGGGGAAAACATCTGGCTTTCTAGTTTAGTTTATGTTTGGCAAAGAGAACTTGAACCTCACAGAGGCAGAATGACTTCTCTGAGATTGCACAGACCTGAGGACTCTAAAGTTTGCTTTTCTCTCCACTTGCCTTAAAAGACTAGCTACATGGTGATGGCTAAGACAGGACCTCCTGCTTCCTAGGCATGTGACCCAATGTTTCTGGATCCCGCCTCCATCAGTGCAGTGGGAGACACAGTCATCTACCAAAGAGGCACCAGAGACCATGACAGGGCTGTGCTCTTGGCTCAGTAAAAAGCCAGGGCAGCTGCTGCTGTTATTATTATCATTGCAGGAGAGGATGATAACAGGGGTATTATTGGTAAAGCTGCTCTAAGCCCAGGGGCCGGCAGAACCAAGACAGGAGTTTCTGATAATGCCCTGAGTGCGCACAATGAGAACAGGACCATGGGCGGAGCCTGTGACTAATGAGCCCCAACTGGCTCCAGAGTCGCTGATAGCATCAGAGACCGCCCCATTCCAGGGTCTCCCTCCCTGCCCTCTGGGGTTGGGCCCCCAGTTTCCCAACTCCTGGCCCCACCCAGACTGCAGGAGAGGCATCGGCCTGGCATCATGTCCAGAACCAGCACAGCATCGAGCCCTGGACACCTGGGTCCTGGCCCCTGTCCATTCATTCATGCATTCATGCAGCAGCCAATCCTGCAGGCTACTATATGCTCAAGGATCTTAGCAGCCCCCAAACAAATTCCTTGGCTTCAAGGGTTTTGAGGACAGTCTGTGGCTCACTTTCCTCCTCTGTAACAGGGAGACATTACCTCCCAAGACTGGCGCAAAGGATTGGAGGGCCAAGTGCACAGAGCCGGGTCTTCGGCTCTTTCGTTCAGTGCTGCCAGCTGCCTGCCCTCTGCCACGTCCAGAACAGCGCCTGGCACACAGTGTGAACACAGGAATTTTTAGCGAGACGAATGCAGGCAAAGCCTGCACATAACTAGTGCACCATGTGCCTGCCCCTGGGCTGTGCCTGCTGTGCAGGGCTCCCTGCTTCCATTGCCAGCCACTACGCTGAGCCTCGGACAGTGCCTGGCTCAATCAGTTCTTGTCGGTGAATAGTGAAATGAAGCATTAGCCCTTTCCATCGGCTCTCAGCCCAGGAGGCCATCAGGGTGGGGATCACCACGACTTGTTGGAGAGAAGATGTGCGAGAAAGAGATGACCCCACGGACTCAGGACCGGGTCTGTGTCAGAGCTTGGCCACCGGTTTCTTGTGTGTCTTTATTCAATGAATGGTGTCTGGCCTCCCTCGGGGTGGGGCCATCTGCCTCATGTTTTGGGGTGTCTTTGAGGACCCAGCCTTGGTCACATCAGCTACCTGGTGACTGCTGTGAATGCTGATGAGAGGGGAGCAGTAGAGGGAGGCGTTAGAATCTGGCCTCCAGGGACCCCGAAAGGGGAGGGTCTCCCTTTGGGTCACACAGAATTCAGGGAAGAGCTGCACAGAAGTACACAGAGCTCCAGCAACATCCCGACTGCCCATTCCAGGAGGTGAGGGGGAGGTGAGGAGATTCTTGGCAGTGCAGGTGCGGTGGCTTCCACCTCCCACTCCACTCTCCACCCCAAGGCTTCACCCACTCACCCCTAGCTCCGTGCCTTGGCCTCTGCAACTCCCCACACTGCGCATGTCACCCCTTTGTTTTAAACCCCAACTTTCTGCAGAGGATGAGCTGAGCTTCTAAACTTTGGCAGGACCCAGAGAAGAAATTCAACAGTTCAGTGAGCCTGGGGACCTTGAAGCTCCCCCCAAATCCCCGCACCACCACTGAAACTCTGCTACATTATCAGAAGCCTAGAAGGAGGCCACCAGCCCAACACAGGGGTGCAGAAACCTGAATGACCCACCCCGTGACTCTCCCCTTCCCCACCTGGCCCAACCTCATCCACATCCCTGACCTGCCTCTGGCTCTCCTGGCCCCCCTGTGATGTGTAACCAGAAACCCCAGAACCCCTACCCCCACATTACTGATTCTCCCCTGGGCCCCCCGGAGCACACCCCTCGTTTGGCGCAGGTAGCCTCCCTCCACTTCCTCTCACCTGGGCCTCGTCCATAGACAGTCCGGGACCTTCGGCTTCATGCCACCAGCTGTCTGTTAGACAGGCTGCTCTCCCGAACCTCAGGGCTTGACCTCCCTTTGCCCCATGTGCCTTAGAGAACATTTGCTCTTCTTTAAGCATTGAGGTTTCCTCCACTCCACCCAGGAGAGACCTTGTGCCCCACTCCCTGGCTCCCCTTGTCCCTCCTGCTAATAGGAAGTAAAGCTGGTGCGGGACGAGTCAATTTCTAACTCTAAAATCCCACCCCCTGCACAGCCCAGGGGACTGAGCTTCATTGGGACCCCAGGGTCACCTAGCCTGGGTCAGTTTATCAACGTTTTGTTGAAGAAGGACTTCAGCAGTGAACACAGGGTTCACACCAAACACTCCAAACTCATTCATCTTCATCATTTTCTAGCCACAGAAATGTCATATTCCCAAGGTTGTTTTTTTTTTTTTAACGTCCCTTTATTTCTAAGACATTTCACGTTGTTTTCCTCTCTTCTGTTCCCTTTCCCCTGACTCCTGCCCCCTCCTGGAATTCACCATTCAAAATCCCTCTCCTATATGCCCCCCTCTATGACGCTCCCCCAAACCTGGACCAAGTCCTCTAGGGTTTCCTTCTATGCCCTGTCCGTGGGAGGCAAGGCTCTGCCTCAGCCCGACCTGGACTCTGAGCAACTTGCAAGCAAAGCATCAAGAAAGCAAAAGATTCCCTGACTATGACGCCTAAATAGATCGTGTTCTATTTAGGCATCATGATGCCTAAATAGATCGTGATGAAATCAATGTGAACTGAGCCTTAAAAAAAACGTTTGTCTGCTCTCTATTTTGCCTTTTGTTTATATGCCAAGATCAAAAGCATGCTTTTAAATAGTTGTATAGTATCTCACCAGAATATAACCCGCCCTCCACTGAGTGGTGAAAATGTTCTGACGTGTGTTTCACTTATCCATTTATTGCAATTACAAATGACTCAGAGGTGACTTGTATCTGAATCTCACCACCTATTGGGATTATCTCTTTGCAGAAAATTCCTAGGGGGCAACGATGGAGGCAGGGAGGAGAGGAGGTTATCAGTAAGCCCACGTCAGTGCAGCTGACAGGTTGCCCAGCGACAGCTGCACGATATTGACAGGCCCACACTTACTACAAAATCTCACGGGCAGTTCCGAGTCCATCCAAGTCAGCGCCTTCCCCACCTGGGAGTGGGTTGAACGTAGAACATTCTGGACTGCAGGACTGTCAGGAATCCAGAGACAAGAGTTTCACAGACCCAAACCCTGTCCTCGGTTTCCAGGGTCAGCACCTTCAGCCCTACCCATTTCACAGGTGAGGTTACTGAGGTCGCCAGTCTTCAGGGTCAATATCTCTGACCAGGAAGAACAAGAAAAAGGATGGCCACAGGGACTTCCCAACTCCTGCCTCTCAGCTCCAGGAAATGGAAGGCCAGAGGCAGTAAAGTCAGAGCAACCAGGCATCCAAAAACTAAGCAAACAGTCCCCAAAACCACTCTGGATGCCCCGACTTTAAATCCTGTCTGTAAGTGCCAGGGTGACCCTGGACATAACCTCCAGCCTCATGAATGCTGACTGTCACCAGGAAATGGGTTAATCTCCCTGTAATATACCTGTTACTCATTATATTTTATATGTATATGTAACATAAAATGAGATTTTTTTCATGTAAAATATTTAGTAGAATACATAGCACACAGTAAGTCTTCAGAAAAGGCCACTACGTGTATGACTGCATTGCTCACCGTTTATTGAGCATGTACTATGTGCCCAGCACAGACAATTGCACTTGCGCCACATTACTCACCATCCCGGGAGCTCTGGGTCGGGACCTGCCCTACCCCCGGCACCCAGCACAGGGATCCCATAGCTGCGGGGATCTGTGGCTGTTCACATCTTTCAAGCTTTGTTTAGGTACCATTGCCACTTAGGTATCCAAGATTTTTTGAGCTCTTCCCATGTGGCCAGCCCCTTCCCTTCCCAGAAGAAAGGATGACAACTCTCCTGAGGCGCCCAGATCTGAAGGGTCTCCAGGATGTAAGACTCCTGAGCTAGAACCAAGACAATGTCCATCAACCTGGGGTGAGTTGGTCAAGCCCGGGCTGGGGGCACAGCTGAGAGCAAAGTGGATACATTCACCTCCTCCAGGAAGCCCTCCTTGATCCACTCCTTGCCCCTGTGGTTACTGTGCAGCTGTCAGTGCCATTACAGCCCCTGGGTTGTAAATGCCTAGAGTCACAGTGGTGGTCTCCAAGCCAGGAGAACAGAGACTGGCTTAGCCATTTCTAACACTTACCACAAAACCCGGAGAATGTGCCCAGATTAATGAATGAAAGCTGGTTCCCTTGCCTAACAGATGAGCAAAGGGAGGTTCATCGAGGCAAACTGCTCAAACGAGATTCCCTGGTGCAGGCATTCGGAAGTCGGGGCTTGAACCCCTGCCTGGGGGCCTCTCCCACCTCCACCCTCCCTGCCCCCTGCCCCTCACCGTGTTGTAGAACTCCGCCACCAGCTCCGAGTGCTGGAAGTTGCTCTCACACCAGTCCACCTCAGAGCTCTGGTAGGCGAAGATGCTGGGCATCCTGACGCTGCGCCTGTCCTCCACTGGCTGGGACTGGCAGCGAGGAGCACCCGAGCTTAGAAGGGCCGGGCCCAGCTGAGGCGGGGAGAGGACAGCTTGGTGCCCACAGCGTGCTGAGAGGAAAAACCTGCTGAGCCGCTCGGCAGTTGCACCTGGCTGTGAGGTGGCAGCCGCCCTGGACATCAGCCAGCTGAGGGGCTGGCACAGAGCAGGCAGGGCAGGAGGTGGGAGGGTGGTGGGTGGCGAGGGGGTCCATTAGGACTGAGAGTTGGGGGGGCTATTTTGGAACAATAACTTAAAGTAATAATCAGGAGGCTACTGAGATGAGTATTTCTGCAGAAAAAACAAGGCAAAGAGCACAAAGCCACTCACCCAGGGCATGCAAGATGTAAAAATAGGTGGACTCGGTCCAGATTCCAGGCTCTTGACCAGTGGGTTTTACTACTTTGCACCATCAAGGCTCCATGTTGCTACCTCCCAAGTCAGGTGTAACCGCTGCACAGACACCCCAGTGGGCTCAGAGCAGCTCCCATAGCTGCCCGATCATCGCTCCTTTGGGGACCTCAGCTTACCCATCTGTGCTATGGGAGACTGGGCTGGATGGAAGCCCAGTCTTGGATGGTCAAGACCCCCACGGACCTAAGGTGTCCTCCTATCTGGGCCACCTTCAAAATCCCATGTTGATGGAAATCTGTAGTGTTCCAAATCTGCCTGGGGCCCCCATCCAAGGGCTAGAGAAAGCTGTGGTTATAGAGTCAAGCAGTTCTGAGAGCCTCCCTTAAAGCTGTGTGGCCTCGGGCAAGTGAATTTGCTTCTCTGGGCCTGTTTGCTCTGTAGTACGAGGAGGATTACCCCAACCTGCAGAGACAAAGCAGGTCAAGGGCCCAGCTCAACACCTGGCCCAAAGGCGCTGACCTTGAACCTTAAAGCAACCTTGTGGCAATAGCGATGTCATACTTCTACTGGTGGCCTACCAGCGCCAGGCTCTTTTCTCTATGCTCGGCACGCATTAACTCATTTAACTTTCTTAACAGCCCCAAGAGAGACTCACTGGCAGGAAACAGAAGCCAGAGAAGTTAAATTATTTGCCCGAGTTTGCACAGCTAGAAGGCAAGAGAACCACTTCTCTGAGACTTGTTTTCCCCACCTGCAAGACATGAGCAATAACAATAAGTCCTCTGAGGGCTGCTACCGAGATTTAATGAACTGATACTGCGTGTTTACTCGGAAGGTGACTTTTGGCAATGCATGGATCTGTATTCAAAGTCGTTGGATCGTGTGGCAAGTGAGCCTTTTCAGTCTCTGGCTGTTGTACATCTTCATGCCTTTTAAAACATCCCTTTGTAAGAAGCCTACCCAGCAAGGATATGGTTTATTTTTTTTAAATAAACTTGACTTTGTGGCTGCTCATATCTTCTTTTCATTTGTGATAGAGTTATAAAGTTGCTTTTTAAAAATAAATTTATTTAAGCTTTATCTTTCTGGACGTGGTTACACAGACATATAAAGAAACTGCCTAGACACACACACGCACACACACACAAGCTGCAGAAATCTGAATAAGGTTTGTAGATCATATCAATGTAAATTTCCTTCTTTTGCAATATTATAGTTATATAAGAGGCACCACTGGGGAAAACCGAGTAAGGCATACCGGGGGGACCTCTCTGAATCATTTTGCAACTTCTTGTGCATTTATAATTACTCCAGAAAAAACCAGCTTGCCCCAACCCCAGTAATACATCTAGGTTTTTAACCAATGTGTAAATGAAGAAACAAAATGTGCATATGCATGATGGAATATTATCCAGCCTCACAAAGGAAGGAAATTCTGACCCACGCTACAACATGGCTGAACTTTGGACTGAGGGAAAGAAGTCAGACAGAGACCCGGGCCTGTGTGATCCCACAGAAGGAGGTCTCTGGATTTGATACATTCGGAACACTCACAATAGAATGGTGGGTGCCAGAAATGGGGGGTGGGGAGGAGGAATGGGAATTTATTGTAGCTTGGGGACAGCTTTCAGTGTGGGGAGATGAGGTTTTGGAGCTGGAGGGTGGCGATGGTCACACAATGTGAGTGTGCTGAGTTCCACAGACCTGTGCGCTTAAACATGGTGAAAATGGTGCATTTCATGATGTATCTGTCTTAAAAACAATTTTTTAAGTAAATTATTTAAGGAATTTTTTGTCTTTTATTTATTTAAACATATTTCTTATCTCATTCTTCCTTTTGATTTTGATTTATGTTTTTAAAGAGGGCTTTAATTAACAAAATATCTCAGATGCTCAGATGGCAGGTGGATGTAGGAAATCCTGAGGGCGGTCTGTGAAGATCAGAAGCCTGGGAACATTCAGGTCTCCCATGTTGAGCGCTCAGCCCAGAGCTGGTGTTGAAAGAAAGGAGGTTGTTTTTGTTATTGATGTTGTTGCCAGCAGTAGGATCCTCTACAAAGCATCAAATACTTCTGTGGTCAGTGCTGCCAGGTGCCCAGTACCGAGTACCTGGAGGTCCTTCAAGGTCATCTGCAAAAGAGGAAGATAGCAGGTTTGGAGATGAAAAAGTTCTCTGATCCTGAATTCAACCTAGGGCCTCCCTGTTGGTGCAAGGGGTCAAAGAGCAGCACTGTGAAGCTGACCACAGCTACTGCAACACGAGTTTGATTCCAGCCAGGGAGGTGACCCGCATGGCGCGGCAGCCCTCTCCTGTCCCATGCATTTCAGTAGACCTGCCTGTTCTGCTCCCCACTGAATCCTCTCACCTCCTACACCTCTGGCCTGTACCCCAGTTCTTGAATGTATACATAAATAAATCTTTAAAAAAATAGCTCAAACTGATTCTTCATTCCCTTAGAGCAGGAAGAAAACCCACCATAAGCCAGGTAGCCCCCCACGTCCCCTCCCCCAATGGCCCGGATGCGCAAACATACACTATCTCCAGCCTCCCCTCGCCCCACTGCAAGCTGGGCTGACTCCTTCCTCCTGGAGGGACCATGTGGGGGTGGAGTGCGTCACCTCTCAGGCACCTCCCTGCTTAAATCTAGGGCAGGGCACAGCTCTCAGGACCTGGCTCTCCTAGACCTCCATAAAGAGTTTAGCAGCAGGAAGAACAGTGATGACAGATGCCCATGCCTGCCCCAGCCTAGAGAGTTTGGGACATCACCCACGCTGCCTAGGAGAACGGGGGAGCCAGAGAGGCGTGTGGGTATGGCGGTGGCGCTCGCCCTCTGATAGGGGAACCAGGAGGCGAGATCTCCAAGCACATCATCCACCTCTGCGTCTGCCATGAGTCTGCTTTCCTCTGACTTTGAGCCTCTTCCAAAGACTCTTCTGATGGCACTGGGCCCATTCAGATAACCCTGGATTGTCCCCTACTATCAAGAATGTAATACAGGGCCTCTGGCCTAGGGGTTAAGTCTCAATGCCACTACCACAACAGCCCCCCCCCAAAGACCAGGGAGGCTGACCCACCTCTCAGTCCCACCTGCTGCTCCCCACTCTGTCTCTGGTGCTTCCTCTCATGCCCCACACCTCTGGCCTTCACCCCAGTTCTTGTGTGCATAAATAAATATCTGAGAAAGAACTTAACACAAACACACCTGCAGTCTCTTTTGCCAAGGAAGGCAATGCATTCCCCAAGTTTCCATGACAAACACATGGAGGTGGGGGGGGAGGGACCAGTAATTTATTTTTCGTGAGGGAGAAGGAGGATGTGGGCTCAATGGGGCTAGAGGCTGGGACAGGGCTGAAATAAATTGAGAGGGAAAAGGACTGAGGATGGAATTGGGGTGGGAATGGAAACAAGGGTGAGGATGCCCCGGTGGCTGGAAATAACTGAAGCAGGTTGGGGTGCATGTGGGAATGGAGAGGGAAAGAGGGTGGAGATGGGGGAGGAAAGAGGGTTGGGAAGAGGCTAGAGACTAGCTTGAGAGTGAAGTCAGAGGTGGGGCTGAAGATGGAGTCGGGGGATTATGCAGAAAGGGGACAGCTGGAGAGGTGCTGGAAGACACCGCAGGGGGCGGGCTGGAGCTGAGTATGGAGGGGAAACCTGGTTTGGCGTCCTCGCCCCATTGGAATGGAGTGGGCACGGGACTTTGCCCGTGGTGGACATGCGCAGCCCACCCTAGGTCAGTACCCCGAGGTCGCTCCCTGGAGTTGTACGGGTGAGGGGATACAAGGAGGCGGCACACAACTCCCCTTCATCTCCACCCGCCCAAGCGAAGGCCTGCCGCACCCTTCTTATTTCTGGGGTTCCTTCCTACTCTTCCCTGAACCCTCTCCTTGAGTTTGAACCTAGAGTCTGTCTGTCCATCAGCTGCCAGTGGCCACTTGACCCAGGGGAACCGTTCACAAAGCTCATTAGGTGCCCACCCTGCCAGGCTGAGCCAAGCTCGCCCAGCCCCTGCCCTCTACCTCACCATCAGCACCAAGGGCAGGGACCGAGTTTTTCTCTGTTGTCCACAATCATTAAATACTATGTGTAGGTCCAGAAAACACAGGTTGGCAAAAAGGAAAATTACCTCATTGATAACCTTACAGGCCAAAGATAGTATTGAGATGTGTTTGACTTTAAAATGTTTGTTACAAAGATTTGCATGCCAGTGTTTGTTACCTGTATTTTCACTTAAAAAGGCATGGACAGGCCCTCCCTGGTGGCGCAGCGGGTTAAAGCACAGCACTAAGAAGCTTAAGCCGCTTCCCCATGAGTTCGATCCCCGCCTGCCCCGGAGGTGACCACATGGCGCGGCAGACCTCTCCTGACCCGCCCGCTGCACCCTCAGCAGTGTACTTCGTCGATCTGCCTGTTCTGCTCCCTGCTCTGTCTCTGGTGAATCCTCTCACCCTCCGTTTCTCTGGCCTGTACCCCAGTTCTGTATGAATAAATAAATAAATCTTTAAAAAAAAAAAAAAGGCATGGACAGCCTTCCCTATTTTGAAGCATTCTTGACTACCATTACTTTTCATCTTGTAAAAAGACTTTTGACACTGCCCCCACCCCG